GGACAGAGAGTTCCCCTGCTGAACAGCTCTCACAGTCAGGAAGTTCTTCTTCGTGTTCAGATGGAATCTTCTTTCTTGTAGTTTGAAGCCATTGTTCCTTGTCCTAATCTCCATGGAAGCAGTAAACAAGCTTGTTCCCTCCTCCCTGTGGCTTCCTCTCACATATTTATACATGGCTATCATATTTCCTCTCATCCTTCTCTTCTTCAGGCTAAACATGCCCAGCTCCTTAAGCCGCTCCTCATAGGGCTTGTTCTCCAGACCCTTGATCATTTTAGTCGCTCTCCTCTGGACACATTCCAGCTTGTCAATATCTCTCTTGAATTGTGGTGCCCAGAATTGGACACAATATTCCAGGTGTAGTCTGACCAAAGTGGAATAGAGCATGGGTAGCATGACTTCCCTAGATCTGGACACTATGCTCCTATTGATGCAGGCCAAAATCCCATTGGCTTTTTTTGCCGCCACATCACATTGTTGGCTCATGTTTAACTTGTTATCCACGAGGACTCCAATATCTTTTTCACACATACTGCTCTTGAGCCAGGCATCCCCCATTCTGTATCTTTGCATTTCGTTTTTCCTGCCAAAGTGGAGTATCGTGCATTTGTCACTGTTGAACTTCATTTTGTTAGTTTTGGCCCATCTCTCTAATCTGTCAAGATCGTTTTGAGCTGAGCTGGCTACCATCCCCCCTAGTTATGCAATTTTAAATACCCTTTAAAACATCTGTCTATAACTATACATAACTGCAAGTTAAAAATTTACACTTCATCACAATCTCCATCCCCATTTAGTTGGGTTTAAAGACTGTCTGATTGTGGCAAACCCTTTTGCATTAGAGGAATGCTGAGAATAGTTCTGTATATATACTGTATAGGGTGACTTTCCATTTACGACAGTGAGATAAACCAATAGTTTTATAGATTTGGGATTTAAGATACAGCATTCAATGGAGGAACAAACTTCCTGGCTAGATAATAGTCCCTTCAAAAAAGCCATTATCTTGACAGATAGTTTAAGAAAGGTTCAGTATGTGTTTGTATGTATCTCCAAGTCTCCTGTCAACTTTTGATACCTTCATGTATTTCATAGGTGGTCTGGCTATTTATTTATTTATTTATTTGGTAGTTTTGTATACCGGTCTTCTCACCTCCATTCGAGGGACTTGGGCCGGTTTCCAACATCAGTATTACAGACCGTCATTAAAACATCATATTTCTAAATCACACTAAAACATTAAAACATTGAAACAATTAAAATGGCAAAAATACAATCATATGATTACAGTGGCCAGTCGTCTACAAAGTCATCATTCGTCGTCATCCATCCATATCACAGGATCATGGCTCATTCGTTGAATGCCAATCCCCAAAGCCAGATTTTCACCTGTTTCCTGAACGTTAAGATCGAAGGGGCAGTTCTGATCTCCAGTGGGAGTTCCAGAGTCGAGGAGCCACCACTGAGAAGGCCCTGTCTCTCGTCCCCACCAGCCGCGCCTGTGAGGCCGGAGGAATCGAGAGCAGGGCCCCTCCAGATGATCTTAGTAATCTTGATGGCTCATAGGGGAGGATACGTTCGGACAGGTAAATTGGGCCGGAGTCGTTTGTTGCTTCCTCTGAAGTATAGCCAATTGTATTTGTTGCTGGTCCTCCATCTAAGTACTAACCACGCCCAGGCCTGCTTAGTTTCCCTATGCTCACTTTCTATTGCTGTCTACCGAAGAAACATGATGGTAACAGCAGATTAAATCTCTCTCTTGCTTGGCTGCACATTTCCGCATGAGAGGTCTATCGTGTACTCGTTTTAGAGTCAGGATAAAGAAGGAAGGAGGCAAACGAAGGGAGGCAAGCAAGGAAATTATGTTTGATCGAGCTAATGAGGCACGAAGCACTGAGTTTCCTTTACAACCCACAGGTGCCAGTGTTTTCACTGTCCACTAAGCATTTCGATCATGCACTTTTTCCAAGAACCAATGGGTCGGATCCCCAATAATTGTTTGGGGTGGGCTACATGGAAATAGTGTTTTTAATTTGTCCTGGCAGCACTGATACACCCTCTCTGACTCGGTCAATATTGTAAGAGTCAGTAGAAGACTGAGCAAATGGGAAGAAGTGTTTTGCCTCTGGACACGTGCATGGTATTTGCCCTTCACAACTGCGGCCGTCTCATACAGTGTAATGCAATGGCTGCAATTAGAAGGATAAAGCAATCTGCATGTCCCTAGAGCGGGAATGGGCAAACTTGGGCCCTCCAGGTGTTTTGGACTTCAACACCCACAATTCCTAACAGCCTCAGGTCCTTTCCTTTCCCCAATTAGCCACTTAAGCTGTCAACCAACATAGACTAAAAGGAAAAACAAAGCTCTGTAACGTAATCTGCATTTTAGTTGACAAGTATCTCTGTTATCATAGGATTCAGTGCTAGCCATTCAAATAAAATGCTCCCGTATAAATAACACGTCTTTATGACAAATACCTTGTGTTTCTAATAACTATCTGTGTCAATAAAGTGTTGATCTACGCAGGAAAAAAGAAGAAAAGTAGCTATTAGAAGGCTTTACCTGTTAGATTCCTGCTTGAAACCTATTGGATAGATACGCAAAACCTTCCTCCCAAGAAAACTCTATTTTGGACTGACTTCCATAAAATAATCTCACCACTGTGTTGTTGAAGGCTTTCAAGACCGGAATGACTGGTTTGCTGTGAGTTTTCTGGACTGTATGGCCATGTTCCAGAAGCATTCTTTCCTGACGTTTTGCCCACATCTATGGCAGGCATCCTCAAAGGTTGTGAGGTTTGTTGTAAACTAGGCAAGTAGGGTTTATACATCTGTGGAATGTCCAAAAAGAACTATTGTCTGTTTGAAGTGTGAATTTGCAACTGGCCACCTTGATTAGCATTGAATGGCCTTGCAGATTCAAAGCCTGGTTGCTTCCTGCCTGGGGGAATACTTTGTTGGGAGGTGTTAGCCTCAAACAGACAAGAGTTCTTTCTCCCACTTTATACATTTCATAGATATATAAATCACACTTACCTGGTTCCAACAGACCTCACTACCTCTGAGGACGCCTGCCATAGATGTGGGTGAAACATCAGGAGAGAATGCTTCTGGAACCATGGCCATAGAGACCGGAAAACTCACAGCAACCCAATCTTCCCTTTCCCCATTTGAAATCTGATTTTTTTCCCCTGATTTCTTCGAGTTCCATCAGAAGTGATGGGATGCATGTTGCAACTGGCCACCTTGATTAGGATTGAATGGCCTTGCAGATTCAAAGCCTTGTTGCTTCCTGCCTGGGAGAATACTTTGTTGGGAGGTGTTAGCCTCAAACAGACAAGAGTTCTTTCTCCCACCCTGGACATTCCACAGGTATATAAATCACACTTACCTGGTTTCCAACAGATCTCACTACCTCTGAGGACACCTGACATAGATGTGGGTGAAACATCAGGAGAGAATGCTTCTGGAACCATGGCCATAGAAACCGGAAAACTCCCAGCAATCCAATTTCCCCTCTCCCCATTTGAAATCCATTTTTTTTCCTGATTTCTTCAAATTCCATTAGAAGTGATGGCATGCAACAAGCCTCTGGCATATATTTTATTGTGGGAAAGGTGTGATTTTTGTGCCACGTGAGAAGGTACATTCCAAAAGTTCCCTCCCTTGGACCCTTCAAGGAATAGGAAGTTGCTCCTTTGTTATAAGTCCAGCACAAAACAGCTTCTTGACTTCAATAAATATATTCCGAGCTATGTATAAAACTGTTTATTTTACATACCATTGGAACATTAGGAGAAGCCGGTTAATAACTTAGCATGCATAAGCAGAGGTATTTCTCTTTCTCTCTCTTTATAAATACAATGTACAAAAATAAGCAATACAGTCCTCCCGAGATTCCCAGCAGTTCCAACCTTTATGGTGTAACTTTGTTTGTTATGGAATGAATGCAAAAACTTTCAGTGCTATTGAAGAAAATGAATGTCAAGTATCTAGTGTCTTCTGACACCGCGGTTCAGTCTTTTGACACTGTTTCGTGAAGAGTCTCAGGCTCCCCTCTTCACTGTTATTGATAGAGAAAAATAAGGGGTTACAGCAGGCATGGGCAAACTTTGGCCCTCCAGGTGTTTTGGACTTCAACACCCACAATTCCTAACAGTCTCAGGCCCTTTCCTTTCCCTCCTCAGTCACTTAAGGCTGAAAATCACTCATCTGAAATGCTTGAGACCCAAAATATTTTGGTTCCAGGCTTCTTCCAATTTGGCAATACCTGTATATTTTGCATATACATTCATATAGAGAACCCAAGTCCAAACACAACATTCATTTATGTTTTGTATACACCTTATACACATAGCCTGAAGGCAATTTTATGCACAATCTTTTAAATAATTTTGTGCATGGCACAATGTTGATGTATATTGAACCATCTGAAAGCAAAGGTCCCAGACAAAGGATGCTTAGTAAAATAGTAATATTTAAAAAGCAAGGTGAATGGGTCTGAGATTGTTCTGATGTTTTATGCTACCACTATTTTATATTATATTTAGTTTGTGGCTTAAGGAGATGTTGCTCCAGAGGCTGGCTTTTCCCCTTGGGTGCATCTTGAGACTTCACAGCATCCACCTCATGGTGATACAGTTTTTGTATCCTAATAATTGAAAAGGATATGGAAGGAAGAAATACTAGGAGCTTTGAAAATGTGGAGTCCAGAAGCCACAAGTTGGTTAAGTACTTGGGTTCCCAAGCCTCTTTTACTTTGCTGGTCTATGTACTTCCACCAAGATGTTCTTCAGACAGCATCACCTTCTGATTCCCATGTGACAAGTGATGTCTCGTGAGATAGTCAGGAATGGGGCAAGAAAATTGGAGACTGCCAAAGTGGAATTATGGCTTTCCAAGACAAGGTAGCAAAATCTGGCAGCTCTGGGTTGAGTTCTGATGGAATAGCAAGCTAGGTGCACGGGATACTTGGAGAGCAGATGATAATCTTTGATGTGGAGGATGTCTTGGGGGAATGAGAATTAGGTTCTTGTAAACCAGAGCAAGTCAGGAACTCCTGTCTCTCTGGGAGCTGAGGATTCAAGGTGCTGGGGCAGGAGGCAGTGGTGGGTGGGCTCCCCCATGCCTGCCGTGGGGCTGCCTGGCTGCCTCCTCCCCATCAGAACAGTCAGGAGAGCCATAAGGGCAGCAGTGTCCAGGCTGGTCTTCCTCTTCCTCATCATCATCATCGTCCTCCTCCTCCTCTTCTTCTGGGTCACTGTCCCTGAGCTCTCGCAAACACCGCCCACCGTTGCTTTTCTCAGGAGTCACATTCAATGGCTGCACTTCCTCCCCTCCTTTGTCTTCGCCGGCACTTCCTCCCTTCTGCTTTTCCGCTTCCTGGGCTGCCTGCTCCTTGGCCTTCTTGCTCCGCTTCCACTTCATGCGCCGGTTCTGGAACCAGATCTTCACCTGAGGAGAGAAGGGCAAGAGATACATGTGTTACTGGCATCATGGAAAACCCTGGCCAAACCATCAGTGCCACCAAATCCAAACTTAATCTGGGAGAGGGGGCTGCTCTTGATCCTACTATCTTCACAAGCATGATTGGTGGAGATGAGAGACAGGGCCTTTTCAGTGGTGGCCCCTCATCTATGGAACTTCCTCCCCAATGAAATCAAATCAGCTCCCTCCCTCCTGTCCTTCAGAAAGAAGCTTAAGATGTGGCTGTGGGACCAAGCATCCAACGAGTAAATAGTGCAATAAGAATAACGGACTAATGCAATTAACAATTGGACAGGCCTTGGATTACGATTTGGATTACTTGATTTTCATTGATGTTTTAATAATTAATGTTTAATTTATGGTTTAAATTGTATTTCTTTACTTTTTTATTTATATGTATTGGCATTGAATCGCTGCCTGCTGTAAGGCCGCCCTGAGTCCCCTTTTAGGGTGAAAAGGACAGGATACAAATATGTGAAATAAATAGCATCCAAGGCTTATTGGAGCAGAGGCTGAGTCTGGCATCCTATGCTTAAGGTAAAGGAAAAGGTTTTCCCCTGACATGAAGTCTAGTCATGTCCGAATCTGTGGTGTGGTGCTCATCTCCATTTCTAAGCCGAAGAGCCAGCGTTGTCCATAGACACCTCCAAGGTCATGTGGCCGGCATGACTGCATGGAGCTCAGTAATCCTATGCTTACTGATAAGCAATGCTTAGGTGTGATCACTGGGATTGGGGAATTCTGAGAACTGTAGTCTTAAAAAGTAGGTTTCCAAAGTGCAGCTGAGAGTCTACAGTGTGCCCTTACAGATCTCGCCTCTAAATGGTTCCGGCCCAGTTTACTTGTCTGAACGTATCTATGACCCTCTATGACCAACCTCTATGACTCACCTCGGAGTTTACGATCATTGGGGGAGGCTCTACTGTCAATCCCGCCACCCTCGCAAGCGCAATTGGCGGGGATGAGAGACAGGGTCTTCACGGTGGTGGCCAAGAAGGAATGCACTCCCCAGTGAAATCAGTGTGACTCCTTCTCTCCTCTCCTTCAGGAAGAAACTCAAGTCTTAGCTTTGGGACCAAACATTTGTGCAGCTGGCTGAGCAACCACTGTAATGATTTGTGAGAATTGTCCATTAAGAGACCTTGAACTGGAACTCTGGACTATGATTTGGATTTGCAGGCTCAGACTTGGTTGTGTTAATATTTTAAGGGCCAATATTTTCAATGTATTTTATTGCTTTTTAATGTATTTTTATTGCTGTTGAATTGTTTATATTAAATGTTGTGTTCTAACTGTTTCTTTGTTGGCATCTAATGACCACCAATTGTAAGCCGTCCTGAATCCCCCTTCGGGAGTTGAGAAGGACAGGATACAAATAAATAAACTTACCCAGGGTCAGGTTATCATGGGCATAATTGCTCCAGGACCTTCCTTGGCTAGGAGACCTGAAGCTGAAGTAGCACCTCATTGTTCCCTCCCTCTTCTGCCCCAGGCACTTCCTGGACCTTTGGCTGCTTCTGCTGTCATTCATATTTTGTGTGTTCCTTGGGTAACTGAGTAAAAATGTATGGGGCCACCTTATGACTCTCAGTAATGGTGCAAGGCTGAAAATGGGCTCAAACATAAAGATTTTTGTCTGGCTATTCTGCATGTGTGTGCAGTTATGTGAGATTTAGAAAGCAGATGACCTCTGCTTTAGAGGCCAAAATGTTTGTTCCTTATAGGACTGTCAGGTGTCTTTTTATGCTTCCTATTTGAGGGTTGGAAAGCACTTCCTTTAATAGAATATGGCCCCCATATCCATAGGATTGGAATCCACAACTTCATTTAATCATATATGACAAAACATTCTATGTCCTTTATGACACCTCTTCTTTTATTTATTTATTTATTTATTTATTATTCGCACTTATATGCCGCCACTCCCCTGGGGCTCGGAGCGGCTTACAAGAATGGCTAAAATCTAACACAATTTAAAGACAATTTAAAACAATTTAAAAACAGCAATATCAAAAATCAAAAGCCTGTCGAACCAGGTATGTCTTACATGCCCTGCGGAAAGCTGATAAGTCCTGCAAGGCACGGACTTCAGGTGGCAGAGTATTCTAGAGTGATGGTGCCACTGCTGTAAAGGCTCTGCGTCTGGTTGCTGTTAGACTCAAGGTCTTGACACTGGGAATTTCCAATAGATCTTGGTCCTCAGAACGGAGGGATCTCTGGGGTTGGTAGGAGGTGAGGCAGTCCCTCAGGTCCCTTGGCTCAATGTTGGGGTCATGAAAAATTCAGCAACTGTAAAAGGTTTTTGCACTAGTAGCTGTTTTGGACATTACACAAATCTGTTTAGTGGACTCTGCAGAAAATGCTTCAACTGTACTTCACAGAAAGGAAAATCAGCCTTTTTAGCTAGCCTTGCAAATGCTGATGTATTATCAGTCAATATCTGGGGTTTGTATACCTACTCTATATACTTAGGATTGCATTAAAAGGTATTGGGTGAAAAGAGGTCACAAAAACATTCTCAGGCAGAAATGCTCATGAGTGAATAAAGCTTCTGTTTCAGTAGCGTTTGCCAATATCTGTGGTTTTTTGTATCCACACGAAGTCCTGAAAACATATCCTGTGGATATTTATATCGGACATACGGGCAGACTTCAGCCCTCCAGGTGTTTTGGACTTCAACTCCCACAATTCTTAACAGCCAGTGTGGGAGTTGATGTCCAAAACACCTGGAGGGCCCAAGTTTGCCCATGCCAGGGATATAGAGACTGAATAAGACGCCAAATATCATGTATTTCTGGACATGGGCTCTTCATAAAGAAGAAATGTGTGCATTGGGTTGTTGTAGGTTTTTTCGGGCTATATGGCCATATTCTAGAGGCATTCTCTCCTGACTTTTTGCCTGCATCTATGGCAAGCATCCTCAGAGGTAGTGAGGTCTGTTGAAACATTTACACCTAGCTCCAGCAGACAAGAGTCCTTTGTCCCACCCTGGTCTTTCCACAGATATATAAACCCTTTTTCCTAGTTCCAACAGACCTCACTACCTCTGAGGATGCTTGCCATAGATGCAGGCGAAACGTCAGGAGAGAATGCCTCTAGACCAGGGGTAGGGAACCTTTGGCCCTCCAGCTGTGGTGGACTTCAACTCCCACAATTCCTTGAGGCTCGGCATTGGGCCAAGGTAAGCCTTTGGGGCGAATGCCGAGCCTCAAGGAATTGTGGGAGTTGAAGTCCACCACAGCTGGAGGGCCAAAGGTCCCCTACCCCTGCTCTAGACCATGGCCATATAGCCCGAAAAAACCTACAACAACCCAGTGATTCTGGCCATGAAAGCCTTCGGCAATACAATGTGTGCATTGCATAATTTGTGGATGTAGACATAATGTAATTTTTCAGAGAAATACATAGCTCAGAAAATCAATACTTTCTTGATATTTCAGTAGAACACCAACTTGTTATCGCTGCCTCCTGTTGGACAGGAACATAAAGGTCTCCTTTGAGAACTAGCTATGACCCCCACCCAAAAGGAAGCTCTTCTCCCTCCATAGCAAGCTGGGTCCTCACCTGAGTTTCAGTAAGCATGAGGGAGGTGGCCACCTCGAAGCGCTTGGGCCGGGAGAGGTATTTGTTCAGTTTGAACTGATGCTCCAACTCCAGCAGCTGCTGGCTGGTGAAGGCCGTGCGGGGCCTCCTGCATTTGCCCAGGAGGTTGGACTGCGCTTGGGCTGCAAGAGAAAGGAGAGAGAGAGACAAAAGGAGATGGCATGAGCAGGTGGGCAAATGGATCTTTGCTTACTGGGAAAGAAAAAGAGCAGGAATGGTTGGGAGAGGAAGGAGACATCCAAGGGAAACTCCATTACAGATTCCAGACCCAAATGGACACATGCAATTCCTTTTTAAATGTTTTCCAGTCTGTAATAAATAAGAGAGATCCAAACACAAACGTTTGCTGCTACAACGCCCCACCTCGCCACTAAAATCAGTATTTTTTCAAACATTATAACTGCATCTAGAGCTCTAATCTTATGCTAAGAACACAAATTCAATTGGGACCAACTGAAACACTACTGAGGGGCATGAGAACATGAAAAAAAAAACCACATTGCAGGATCCTTCTTGTGGTTATCATAAGTCACCAGTCTTTCTGGAAAATCTCTTGGCTATATCTCTTTCTGCTTACAGTGGGTTGTGGAAAAGACTTCTGCACATGTTCAGAGGCTATGGTTTAATTTCTAGGGAAGTTTCCCAGGGTCCATTAATCCCCAGTTGTTTAAAAAGATGCTCCAAACAGGCATAGGTAACTGCAGTAGTATACCTTCTCTTGTGTGTCCTGTGCTGAGGCAAGGGCACGGCTCAGATGATAAATTCTCTTCCATGATACATTGGATTCATTGCCACAAAGGATTCTGCTGGTATGTGTTTGTGCCTTGACTTTCATAGAGTTTTATCAGGCAAGAAACACTGGGAAGCCAGTTCCTCTTTCTGAAAAACAGCTTTCAGCACCTGGTATTCATTAATGGTATACCATTCACATGCTAACCATTGTAGTATTATTATTATTAACAACCAAGGCTGAATCTACTTGACTTCCAAGATCAGGTGGGTTCTGGTGCCTTGAGGGCATTTAGGCTTAGTCTGCTGGTATAAGCAAAATATATGTCAGGTATGGGCAAACCGAGACCTGGGCCAGATGCGGCCCCATGGGCTCTTTTCTCAAGCCATCTTCTCTCTAACCATCCTATCCTTCCTTCCTTCCCTCCTGCCTTTCTTCTTCCCTCCCCCCACCTTACTTCCCTCTTTCTCCCTCCTTCCTTTGTCTTTCCTTCCTTCTCTCTTTCCTCCCTCTCTCAATTTCTTTCCATCCTTCCTTCCACTCTTCTCTTCCTCCCTCCCTCCCTTCTCTTTTTCTTTCCTCCTTTCCTCCTGGGGGATGTTTAGCTGGGAGAAGAGAAGGTAGAGAGGGAGCATGAGTCCTTGCAGCCATCCTATTCTCTCACATTGGAGTTCTAGAACTCCAATATGCTGATGACAACATCATCTGTGCACATTCAGAAGAAGACCTACAAGCCACTCTAAACACCTTCACAGAAGGATAGGAGAAGCTCGGAACATCGAGAAAACCAAAGTGCTTTTCCAGGAGGCACCAGCCAGTCCCTCTGCAATGCCAGAAATACAGCTTAATGGTGTAATATTAAAATTTTTTGACCATTTCCGATATCTTGGCAGCCACTTTTGTGGACCACTCTCCACAAAAGTCAACATTGACACTGAAATACAACACCGCCTGAGCTCTGTGAGTGCAGCTTTTTTCCCTAATGAAGCAGAGAGTGTTTGAGGACCAGGACATCTGTAGGGAGACCAAGGTGCTTGTTTATAAAGCTATTGTCCTCCCAACCCTGCTATAGGCCTTCGAACGTGGACTGTCTACAGAAGTCACATGCAACTCCTGGATATCAGCACTGCCTCTGGAAAATCCTACAAATCTCTTGGGAAGACAAGCAGACAAATGTCAGCATGCTGGAAGAAGCAAAGACCACCAGCACTGAAGCAGTGGTCCTCCGCAATCAACTCCGCTGGACAGGCCACGTTGTCCAGATGCCCGACCACTGTCTCCCAAAGAACTCAAGAATGGAAAAGGGCATGTTGGTGAGGAGGAAAAGAGATTTAAAGATGGGTTCAAAGCCAACCTTAAAATCTCTGGCATAGACACTGAGAACTGGGAATCCCTGGCCATTAAGCGCTCCAGCTGGAGGTCAGCTGTGACCAGCAGTGCTGTAGAATATGAAGAGACACGAATAGAGGGCGAAAGAGAGAAACGTGCCAAGAGGAAGGAGGGCGAAAGGAAGGAAGGAAGGAAGGCGAAAGAGAGAAACATGCCAAGAGGAAGGAAGGTGGGACCACCTTCCACCTGGAAACCAATGCCCTCACTGCGGGAGAAGATGCAGATCAAGAATAGGGCTCCACAGTCACCTACGAACCCACAAGTACACTGATCTTGGAAGACTATCCTACTCGGATGGCCTAATTATGTAGTAATTCTCTCACAGCAGACACAAGAAAAAAAATCCAAACATTAAGGATGCCCTTCCTTAACTTCCGAAGGATCAGGTGCCTTTAGAATATATTTTGGGAGCAAAGAAAGAACGGGCAATGGCAAGAAAATAGATAGGAAGCCAATCGCGTGGGTTGGGAGGAAAATTCCCCGAGCGTGGAAGAGAAAACGCTTCCCATTTCGATCTCCATCTCGATCCACCATTGTCCCAACACTATTTCTACTTGATCAAACCTCACTTCATTGGGACTAAAAAAGGTCATTCTTGATTCATTTTGGGAGAAGAAGTGACACTATTTCATCACACTCGAGAATTAATCCACTTAAAATCCGGTTTCTGCCTCCTGCAGAATTCTGGGGTTTGTAGTTGAGGGAGGCTGTTAAAGCCTACTCCCTAAACTACAAACCCCAGATTTCTGAAAGAGGCAGCAACCGGATTTAAAGTGGATTCCTTCTCGAGTGTGATGAGGTCCTAAGAGAATCGCAGAGATTCGGAGGTTTCCGTTTCCTTTGAAGCTGCTGTCTTTAAATAAAATGATTCTTCAAGGAAAATATTGTTATTATTTTAAAAAATACAAAGTTTTGTAACAAAACACAAGAGAAAACGGTAAAAAGGAAGACAATCCTACACGCATTGCCCCGGAGAATGCGTGTCGGGTCTGAAATGGTCCCCGACTCATTCCGAATGCAAATAATTACTCCCGAGATTGAACTAGACTTCCTGGATCCCAGATATTGTCTTTTCTTCCTATGTATCGCGAGAAAAGACACATTTTTAGCCTCCTTTATGTAGTAGAAGGACAGCGCTGAGAGAAATCCAGAGGTGCATCCACACTGTATATATCACTCGCATAGTTGGAGACCACTTTCACTGTCGTCTCTTAATAGGATGGAAGCATGGGAGTTGTGGTTTGACAAGGGCATTCTCTAGTGCCTCACCAAAATACAACACCTATGGAACCAGGGCAGTTAAAGCGGCGCCAATCCGGATTAATTCTACAGTGCAGATGCTCCCCCAGGTCTCTGTCCGCTCTCTTCCTCCGTGGCTAAGCGGAGCAGACGGGATCACACTAGAGGATGAATCCACCTAAAAACCCGGTTTCTGCCTCCTGCAGAATTCTGGGGTTTGTAGTTGAGTGAGGCTCTTAAAGTCTCCTCCCTACACTACAAACCCCAGAATTCTCCAGGAGGCAGAAACCGGATTTAAGGTGGATTCATTCTGTGATGAGATCTTTAGGTGACATTGTAGGGAGATCTTAAAATGGAGTAAACTGAAGATGTCCAAGCCCGCGCCCTCGCTCTCTCTTTCTCTCTACACACACACATATATACAGACACGTATGCACAAACATATATACATACATATAATATATACACACACATATATACATATATTTATATATACACACACATATAATATATGCACACATATATACACACATACATAATATATACACACAAATATATATACATAATTATAAATTCGCACATATACACACATATATATACATATATAATGTATACACACACATATATACAAAAATATAAATCTATGCACACACATATATACATACATATATAATACACACATATATAAATATACATTTCTACATATATATACACACACAAACATGCACATATATACACATATATATGCTATATACAACAAATATATATTCACACATAAATATAAATTTCTATATATACACACACACATATATATATACACACACACATATATATATATGCACACAAACATACACATACATACATATATCATATATACGCGCATATATATATCCATAAATACACATTTATACACATATATACACACAAACATATACGCACATATATACATACATATATAATATATATACACACACATATATATACATAAATATAAATGTATACATATTTATGCACACACACATATATATGCACAAACATACACACATATATACATACATATATAATATATACACACACATATATATATAAATATAAATTTCTACATATATATATATACACCCAAACTTATACACATATATATACTATATACAACAAATATATATATATACATAAATATAAGTTAATACATATATATATGCACACAAACATACACATATATACATATACGCACATATATATATATCCATAAATATACATTTATACACACACAAACATATACGCACACATATATAATATACATACACACACATATATATATACATAAATATAAGTTAATACGTATCTATACACACACATCTATATACACACAAACATATACATATATACATATATAATATATATGCACATATATATCCATAAATATACATTTATACACATACAAACATATACGCACATTAATATACACACACACACATACACACATATATATATATACATATATATATATATATATATATATATATATATATATATATATACACATATATACATATATACATACATAAATATAAATGTATACATATCTATACACACACATATAACATATCGGTACGCACACACTTATGAGAAAGAGAGAGAGAGCACCTATATATAGCCCTGAGATCCCTGCATCCTTGGCATCTGCCCCTTTCTTCCCTATATACTACAATCTCTATACTACAATCGCCAGGGATTGCAGGGCTATTGTATTCATGTTCCTTGCAA